AGTAGTAGTAGTAGTCGTAGTAGTAGTAGTAGTAGTAGTAGCAGTGGTAGGAGTAGTAGTCGTCGTAGTCGTAGTCGTAGTCGTAGTCGTAGTTAGTAGTAGTAGTAGTAGTAGTAGTAGTCGTAGTAGTAGTAGTAGTAGTAGTAGTAGTAGTAGTAGTAGTCGTAGTCGTAGTAGTAGTAGTAGTAGTAGTAGTAGTCGTCGTCGTCGTAGTAGTAGTCGTAGTCGTAGTCGTAGTCGTAGTAGTCGTAATCGTTGTCGTCGTCGCCGTTGTCGCCGTTGTCGTCGTCGTCGTCGGAGGAGGAGGAGGAGCCATCCCTCATGTTTCTGCCCGCCCGCTGCCTCCCCATCGAGCGACTTGGGCTTGGTGGGTGCTCATCAGGAAGGAGACTACCTCCAATTTTCGCCTCGATGGGCCTCCTGGGAGGGAGGCCTTCGTTTCGACGGCTGGGTTCGCTTGAAATCCTGGCCAGAAGGTCTGGGGGGTAGCGGTATCGGTACCTCTTGGTTTCCTTAAATATGGGTGCAACCCAGGTGAGCTCGGTGAGAGAGCGCACGGTCCATCTGACAGCGCCAGCTGCCAGGATGTACCGCAGAGCTCCGCCCGTGTCCTCTTGTCCCGCCCGTTCCCAAGATCGGTTTCACGAGGCGTGATTTTTCAGCAGGGGTGTGGTGTGACTGCGGCTCCAGTGACACATCGGCGCCTCGTGTGTCAGAGGACGTCGTGAGCTGCTCTCGCCCACCTCCCTGGCACGGGGGCACGGCCCCGATGTGCCCCGCGCCCGCGGCCTGCGCTGCGCGGCCCGTCGCCGAAGTCTCCCCGAGGACAAGTTCATTCATTGCTTGGACGCGAACTGCAGGTACATCGAGGACCCCCCGGAGGAGGAGGAGGGGGAGGATGATGAGGAGGAGGAGTCAGACGAGGCTGGGGAGGAGGAGAAAGAGGAGGAGGAGGAGGAGGCAGAGGTTGGGCTCTTGGGTAGGCCCTACCCTTGTCCTACCCTGGGCCCTGGGGTAGGCCCTACCCTTGCCCTATCCTAGGCCCTTGGGTAGGGCCTACCCTTCCCCTATCCTAGACCCTTGGGGTAGGGCCTACCCTTGCCTTTCCCTAGGCAATTGGGTAGGGCCTACCTAAGGCTACCCTAGGCCCTTGGGTAGGGCCTACCCTAGGCTACCCTGCGCCCTTGGGTAGGGCCTAGGGCAGCCTTCCGCCCGGGCGATCTATGTCGGAACTGCGGCCCGAGCCTCGATCAAGCTCCAAATCAGCGACCGTACTCGATGGCTTACGGAGAGAACGGCCTTCAGACTCTTTGTCAACACCACGAGAGATCTCACGCGAAAGCTCCAGGCAACCCACAACCGCAACGAGAGATCTTACGCGAAAGCTCTAGGGAACCCACAACCGCAGCCGACTTCCCCGAAATATCGAGTCCAATGGCCGACGCGCTCGCGCAGAATTCACAAGCCGCCCCCGCAAACGCTGGCAGGCATTCAGTCCTCAGGTTGAGATACTCAACCCACTGTGACGAGGAGATCGCTTGTGCGGATAAACGCCGTGGGCTCAATCGGCCTGGAAATCACACACCTCGTTTTGATGCAGCGGGAGGCGATATAAAGCACCGGGGAGAGCCCCGCGGAGACAGCAGGAAAATCCAGAACCAGGGCGGCCTCTAGGGTCAAAACAGGCCCCCGGGAATCGCAAAACACGGCGAAATCCCACGTTGGCCTAACGCGAGCTACACCTAAGGCATCAGCAGTCCTACCAAGAAACATTCTCTTCACACCGCACAGTAGTGCTGAGCTTTCCCGCACTGCCCGATCCCAAAAGCCAGAAGCCCGCCTTCCGATCGCCCCAAGAAGCCCGGCTCCAGACACGCAATGGGAGTGGCGACAGCGCCACCGCTCTTCCTCCCGTCGACGGCTCAGGTAACATGGCTTCCAGGACCAGGAGGCGTTGCCAAGGCCTAGCCTGCATCTGCTCACACCTCGGGAACAACTCTGCGAGTTCGGCGAGCGTCTCCGCAGGGGCCGCCCTCAGGTCCGCAGGGCCCAGGTTATCGCTCCCGCGCCCCGTGGCCTGCCGAATGCATCGAAAGGAGCTCGCGATGTCGGACGGGTCGATCTGCTGGTAGGCGTCTAGATTTTCAGACAGCCTCTTGCGTCGCTCACGCAGACGATGCACTCGCTCGACGTTGACTGCGCCCAACCAGCGACCAGCTCATTGCTGTTTCTTGATCTCAATCACGGCGTTGATGTCGCAGCTGACCTGACCAATCACCTCATCCGCGAATGTCCCATTGTCCTCAAGGCCAATCCCAATGACATGCACCGTCTTATCGTTGGCCCACTTGATCAATGCACCAGGACGCCTGACAGAACACTCCATCACCCAGTCGTGGAAGGCAACCACATTCTGCCGCACGTCAGCCGCATGATCCTTGTCCTCAACGTCCGCCAGTGTTTTGTCCATGTCACTGGCTCGTCTGGCAGCCCAGCTCCACGCCTCTCTCTCATCTGCACGGCACCTCCGCGCTCATGACAAGCAGGAGGCCAGCGCGCTAGCATACATTCGGGAGCATGCCGTCATCGTGACCCAACATGCCGCCCGCAAGGCAAATTGATTCCGTTGGCACCTCCTTTGGGCGCCCTCAAGGGGACTACCTTCGGCGACCGAGGCAGAGCGCGTCCGCAGTACTTGACTGGCCCCCGTGCCCTTTCCTGGTACACCCTGCCCAGTGTTCTGCTGCTATTCCGAGTTCTCTTGCACTTCCTGCAGCGTGTCGCTCCATTTTGGCAAACTTTTCAGCTGCCGCTCTTTCCAGCTGCTTCCTGCGCAGGGCCTGTCTTATTCAGGCCCAGGGCCGATACGGCGCCACGCCACGGTTAAGGCGTACGGGGCACGTGCGGCGTCCCGGGTCGCGCACGTGGCAGATTCTGTAACCGAAATAAGAGCGAGCTTTGCGCACACCCATTCACCTTACTTCTGAATTCACTCGCGAACGTATCGTCAGTATCGCATGCTGGACCAAACCCGCTTGAATCCTCTGTGATGTTAGAGTTCAGGATGTGGCTGACCGCCAGAACTCCATGGAGCTGACTGAGGAGATTCACCAATGGATTGAAGCACTGGTGCCATGGATCTGGGATGGGCGATGAGTTCTTAGCTTTTCCAGCGGTGCCAGTGAGAGGCGCGCAGAAACAATTCGGCGCCCAGGCTCCGCCAGTCACGCCAGCCACACGCGTGCCACATGACTAGTTCGTTCTCGCAAGACAAGGTTCACGTGTAGGGTAGGCACGACTCGTATCATCCATCAGGGCATTAAGGCTAGCGCTGTTGACTGCAGCTCTGAGACGTGTTGCTTCTTTTCGTGCAATGTCTCTTGATATTGGGAGACGTTGGATGCGCCAGCGCGACGTGCAGACGCTGAGTAGCCAGACCCAGGTAGGTGATTTCACATCGCCACTGCGCCCCGTACTTCAAGACCCGCAAGTAGTTCGCCGTGTCTTTCTTCTAGGTCGCTGGCTTCACAGTAATCAGCAGATTCACGCAGCCCCGCTGAGGTGCGCAAGTCGGATCATGAATTCTTCTGAGGGGCGTTGTAACCTCCGCCTTCGTCAATTATAGTCTTATGTATGTTCTGTCTCATCCTTTACCTCCGCCTCCTCGCCCCCTTGCCTTGCTTGCACACATTCCTAGCCCTTCTTGCGCCCCTTCGTCGTTCTGTCTTTTTCTGCTGCTCCACATCCTCCATATCGTTCTCAGAATTGGTGCGGATGTCTTGATCGGCCAAATCTTCTTGATGCCCAGTGAGGCGAGCTTGAAGTCGACCACAGATAGAGGAACATCAAGCTATACAATGTTGATGTGATGCGGCTACTCCCCTCGTACTCCTTGTCACCCACCTTCATCGTCGTCGTCTCCTCCTCGCTTTCCGTGGCTCATAACTCTTCGTTCCTCGTCCGCTCTCTCTCTCTCTCTGGCTTTTGTTGTTCCCTCTCTTTCTCTCTCTCTCTCTCTCTCTCTCTCCCTGGCACTATATCCGGTGCTTGCTTTCTCCATCTCTCCCTCTCTCTCTCTCGCTCCCTCTCTCTCTCTCTCTCCCTTCTCTTTCTATTACCCGCTGTCTATGCTGTCAGAGCGCACGCACACGCACACGCAGCCACTCTCTCTGCAAACCGATTGCGCGGGTCAAGTCACACGTGCCCCTGAGAAGACGCCCAAGATCTGCGGGGACTTCGGCTTGTGTACGATATCCTGCAGCATGAACTGCTGCTGCCTGTTCCAGGTGACCTACAAGTTCATATTGAGGGTCTCGAAGGATTTTCGTCTTTTGGAAGAAGGGCGGGGGGGGGGCATGCCATCGAGGGCGCCTGGGAGGTTAGTAGCGGCGATCAGCTCGGCCCAGGAAAGGGCTCGGGCATGTCCGCTCTCGTATGCTGCTCATCACTCTATTCCTCACTATCATCATTCTCCCTCCTCCGTGTCTTCCTCCACCTCTCCCTACTTCTCCTCCTACTTCTTCTCATCCTCCTTCTCTTCCTCCTCCTCCTCCTCCTCCTCCTCCTCCTCCTCCTCCTCATCTTCATCTTCCTCCTCCTGAGCCTCGGCCTCAGCTTCGCGTGCGGCAGGCGGCACCGGTCAGGCGTCCGCTGGCCCAGGCTCCGCACGGCGGGAGCCGGATCCCAGGCGGTCAGTGCGTAGCCGTGGCGGAGAGGAAGTAGGGCTCCCTCGAGGGCGCGAAGTTATTCGCGCTTCGCGCTTCGCGGTCCTCGTTCCTTCTCCCCCTCCTCCTCGTCCTCCTATTCTCCCTTTGGGAGGGCGGCGCGAGAGCGCGAAGTTATTCGCGCTTCGCGCTTCGCGCAGCGCGAAGCGCGAAGTTGGGAGCCCTAGGGAAGACGCCTCGCGCCAATTTTGTCCGACAGTCGGCACGCCGAAGAAAGGCTCTGCCTGCCAGCAGGTACCCCTCGGAAGTTTCTCATCCTCCGTGGCCTCGGGGGCCCACGGAAGCGCTGGGGCACCTCAGGACCTTGAAAGAGCGACGCAGAATGCACCCCTCACAGTTTGACTTCCCACAGTGACAGTTCATTCCCGTATGTTTCCAGTGCAGCGCCTCTCGCATTGGTTGGGAGGCATGGTCCTGTGTGGAGCAGCCTGGCCAAGAATCTCCCAGGGCTGGTTGGCTGGCATCCATTCGGGGTCTTTCCCTCATGGATGGGAGGCAAGGAGGCCAGCGCGGCGGCGTAGCAAGCCGGCGCCCCCCCAGCAAGGAGGAGCTCTCGAATGGGGAAGGAGACCCTGGCCTCCGGCGCGTAATCAGTAATCTTCGGGCTCGTCGTCTTGCTGCCGTGAGAGCGGTAGGGTCTCAGATCCAAGCGCCGCAGTGGTGACCCGTCCATCTAGCAGGCCTCTCGTTAGTAGCTGTCACCTTCACGTGCACGTCCGACAGCATGGGGTGCTCGGAACGAACGTCGAGCGCTTCAAGCGCCTGGCTGGGCTTGCTCGCGCGCTGCAGCTGCCGTGGGTTGACATAGAAGACCTTCAGCATTGGTCCGAAGGCTCTCGAGAAATCTGCTGCCGCGAGGCTTCGAGTGGTGTTGCTGATGGCTGATATATCAGTCACGTGCATCTTTTCTCATGGGACACAGACTGTCTGAGGTGCAGCGCACTTGCGAGACTGTATCTTGCAAACACGCCCTATTGTGTCAGTCCCTTGGAGGCCTCAGATTGGGGTCGCATGCCGCCGCCGAGGCTGGTGGTGGATTCCGAACAGTGACGCTGGCGCCCAGGGAGTGTCAGATGAAGTGTGTCATTTGGGTCGGAGGTGAGTAGGCGAGTTGAGGCGCGACATAGAAGATGTCGACGTGATGGTGTTCGGCTCGGTGGCGGGGTGCAAGCACAGCCAGGAGCAGACTAGCACCTCGAGTCTGCCTCGACGCTCACCTGCTGAGTGCTCGGTGACCGGCCCGCCAGCCGGTCACACCAGAGTGAGTTGGCCGAACGGGCTTAGACCATCCCTGGATGCGTAGATGAAATGGCATTCCATGGCCCGGATTCTGCTTGTTTGTTGTTTGCTGTTTGTTGTTGTCGTCGTCCCCCTCGCGACCCTCCCGCGACCCACCCCCGACCGACCCCGCGACTCACCCGCGACCCACGCCGCGACTCACCCGCAACCCATCCGAGACCCACCCGCGACCCACCCTCACTTCGTCGTTGACTAGAAGCCAGTGCCTGCGGCGGGCTCTTTGTACCACGCCTCAAGAACTGGGCGCCTGCGGCGGGCCTTTCCACATTCTCACTCGAGCCTCGACGACTGCCCACGCCCAGCCCCCACGCCCCTTGACTCTTATTCGCCACTGCGAGGTGCTACCTACTACAGACTTGACCCCAGACGTCCGGGGAGACGGACTTCCCGAGATCTCGAAGAAGAAACAATTTCATAAACATGATGCGGAAATGCGGCTTAACAGTTTTAACGCCGTTTTCGTTTCGCTAGTCTTTTCCTTGTCTTTGATCGCCTGTTTTGTGTTGGTTCCGTTTGTGCGGGGCTAGCTTTGGCGCTTGGCTTCGGTTGCCGTGGGGGAAAAAAAAATCATAAACGTGAACTTTCGGAGCTCCGCACGGATTCCCTGGATCTGCGCAGGAACCCCTTGGCGGCGCATGCGGCGCCGCCACCGGCGCGCTCCGCGCGTTAGGGAGGGGGGTCCGGCCCGGATCCGAGAAATCCGCGCGGACCTCCACATGTTTGTCAGTTGAGCGGAAGATCGGGACAAATCGGAACCAGAGATTCTGGGAGAGTTCCAGAGAAAAATAAAACGCCGATTTGTGGAGCGTAGCGCGCGCATTCGCAGAAGTTCCCCAAGGAGTGTTCGAGGGCTTGAGGATCCCAGGTAACACATGGGCGCTCTTCTTAGTTTGAGTTTACGTATGCAGCTCTTCTTCTTCTGGAGATCGGCACACAGATGTCCGTGACGGGGCCACGGGGCGGACGGCCTGGCGGTGACAAGACGGCGAGGGCCGGATCCGGGCGAGATTCTGCTGGCACCCCGAATGGCCGCAGGCCAGGACATGGGCACTGGTGCCAGCCATTCGCACGGAAGTGCAGGGGGCTGGAGGAAGGGGGGGGAGATGAGGAGGGGCTGCATGAGCCTGCTTCTATTCACGGTCGGGAGCTTTTTGATAGCGTTTCGCTCCGCCGGTTCTGGCCCACAACGCTTCTGCGCGACACGCTATCCACTTCCTGGTCTCCGAGCGTCCTCGCCCCGCGCCTTTCCGAGTCTCCTGCCCAGCGGTGCGGAGCGACACGCTATCCGCTCGTAGGGCATAGCGCGTCGCCTGGGCCGCTGGGGCGACACACCATGCAACATTGACTGACCGTTGATTTTGGCAAGGTGACTTGCAAGTTTGCATTTCCCCCCCCCATCCGCCGCCATTTCAAGCAGCGCTGGGCCGAAACGGCGAGCAAGTGAGTCCCAGCTAGCGTGAAGTCCAGAGCTCGTTTTCGGGCCTCTCCACGCACCCCCTCTGTGCAGCTCGCCAGAAGCTAAAGAACAACGCCCTGCAGACTGGGAGCAGCCTGGAATGGTGTCAGCCCCTCGAACGGAAGGTGAGGGGGGAGGAGGAGGAGGAGGAGGAGGAGGAGGAGGAGGAGGAGGAGGAGGAGGAGGAGGAGGAGGAGGAGGAGGAGGAGGAGGACGGGGGCTGGGGAGCCGATGGGGAGGTAACGGGGAGGGCGGCATGCAGGGGAGTCAGAAGTGGACGGGAGGGGCGGAGACGGATAAAGGGGAGGAGAGGGACGAGGGAGTCGACGGGGAGGGAGAAATGGCGGGGAGAAAGAGGTTTGGGGGGTTGGGGGAAGCCAGCACGGTCGCCATCGCGCGCGCGAGCGCACCAGGGGCTCAGGGACGCGCTCGTGAGGGCGATGGTGATGCTCATGGCGATGCAGCAGGGCCACCCTGCCGCCTCGGAACCCCTTCTTACTCCCACCCCTCCTCGTCGTCCTCCTGATGCTGTTCACGGTCCTCTGGCTACGCTCCTCCTCCTCCTCAACCCCTGGCCTCCTCCTCCTCCTCCTGTTCCTCCTCCTCCGACCCCTCCGTTCTTCCTCCAGGAAAGGAGGGCTACTACAGCCACTACCTGGACCGGGCGGCAGAAGGGGGGTCAGTGGTGGTGGTGGTGGTGGTGGTGGTGGTGGTGGCGGTGGTGGTGGTGTCGTTGCAGGAGGTGGAGGCGGAGGGATAAGACAAGGAGATGCAGCGGCAGCTTCTCGCTAGCTCTTGCCGCTGCCATGGGGCTGCGAACCAGGGATCGTGGCATGCGTGTTTGGCAGGGGAGCCAATGAGATTAGTTTGGTTTACGATTGCCAAGCCCTCGGCTCGCAGGGCCCAGCTGGACATTGCAGAAGGACGCCGTGCTGTTCTGATCAAGTGTACACCTTGGGCGATGCTTAAGAAAACCCAAGTTTTCGGGCAGAGTCTCGATAATTCTTAACGTTTCAATGCGAATCCTAAGATTTTAATGGAAACGTTGGGTTTTTATTCAAGTTCTGAGACTCTGAATTTCTTAACCCATGATTTCTTAAGCACTTCGCAGGGTGTACGGAGTTCAGCCAGCGCTGCCAGACGTAGAGCTATGAAAGTAAGGCGCCAGGGGCAGAAACGCGGGCGCGTGATGCCCCAGAGGCCTGCGTCTTGTCCACGCTCTTGGGGCCAGAGGTTGGCTCCAGGAACTCTTCTCGTCTCGCTGATTGCATGTCGTCCACCTCGCGTGTAGTCCACCTCGGTGATCTCTCGTTTCCCCATTCACTGCTTTGCTTTCTCACCGTCAGCCGATCCCAGCTACTTTGTCTGCTCTCCTCCCTGCTGTTTGTACCGAACCTTTACCCTCCCAAAGAAAGGCATGGCGAACAGCCGGGAGGGGCTGCCAGAGCCGAAGAACAAGGAGAAGCTGGACCCTGGCGAGGCAATCAAGGCTTCTCCATTTTCCATGCTTTCTCGGAGACGAGGCCCAATGAGCACGAGAGGACAGCAAGAATGAGGAGGAGGGCAAGGACGAACACGACCAAGATTTCGGAACGCCTCTCAACCACGAGACTCCGCCTGCGGAGTCGACCCAACTCCGTCAGCCCCCAGGCCTCCGCGCTCACAAGGTACGCCCCTTCGTGTTGGGTGCGCGCTGTTCTGCTGTTGACGGTGGCTGCAACAGGCGCAGTGGGGAATGGTGGAAGCATCCGTAGGTGTGCCCACACGCTAGACCCCTCACAATGACAGCCTGACAGCGTGAAGTGGAGAGTAGCATTTGGGACGCGAGGAGGGGGAGCAGGAAGGGGGATGATGATGATGATGATGATGATGATGATGATGATGATGATGATGATGATGATGATGATGATGATGATGATGATGATGATGATGATGATGCTGATGCTGATGCTGATGCTGATGATGATGATGATGATGATGATGATGATGATGAGGAGGATGAGGATGAGGATGATGATGGTGATGATGATGATGATGATGAGGAGGAGGAGGAGGAGGAGGAGGAGGAGGAGGAGGAGGAGGAGGAGGTGTGGGGACGCGAGGTTAAGGAGACTGACGGGGATACTGCAGAAGCATTGTGTGATCGTATTCTCGACTGCCAGGCATCTATGCACTTTGACGCATATGTACATGATCTATCTCTTCTGTACACATTGCGACGGGTGAGACGGTCAAACAAATCTCCAGTACACCACTGACGTCGTGATGGATATCATGAAGCTCTGGACTGGCGTCCCAGCGGTAGCCTGGATCGGGAAAAGTTGCCAGCACTCGTCTGATGCTGCTACACGGTCTGCCCAGTCTGCATGATTTGACAAGGGTGTTGGCAGGCGCGCGCGAATTCGTGGACGAAGGCATCGATTTGAGTTCGATGTGTCTGTCGGATGGCCGCTGCGGCTGTCGATGTAATCAATGGCGGCGTCCTTCAGAGCAGGGTTGTTCCCGCTGGTGATGTCTCCGCCGCTGGCTCGTAGCTTTGCGCTGACTGTGGCCTGAGCCCGCTGGTGCGTGACCGAATGCTGCATTAGCAGGTGTCCGGGATGGGCCTGTCCCTCCCAGTGCATGATGGCCCTTCTTTCAGATCCAAGTGCTGTTGCCCAACGTTGCCACCCCTGTCCATCTCTCAACTCCTCTTACGAACTGAACTCGGGCCTTGCATAAGTACCCTCGCCCACGAAGGCGTTCCTGGTGCTCGCCCTCGTCCACGAACGGGTGAAGGGGATGATCCTGCTTTTTTGGAAGGTCAAGATCAAGAAAGAGGACTGAATTTCTCTTACTTTATTATCATGCTGATTGTATTGCCTTCTCCCACTTATTTCTCCATCTTGCCCGGGCTTCCCCTCGCTCCTTGATTGTCGTCCCTGCCCTTCTTCCGTTCTTCCCAATTCGCATGCCACTTCTTATCCGCAGGGAGAGAGAAGGGACCCTGCAGATGAGATGCGAGCATGTGCTCCTTGGCGCACTTCCCCGCCCCCTCTCTCATCACCGATCCCGTCTTCCTTACTCCCGTCTCTGGACCTCCGTTCTCTTTGAACTTCGCCGCCCCGCCCCGTTCTTCCACCTCGTCGGTCTCGTCTTCATCATCTCCTCAGCACCAGTTGGTTTCGCGGCTGTCCCGGGGAGCGTAGGACGCTCGCTCGAGAAGGAGGCTCCTTTCGCAAAACAGCGACTAGCAGCACCGATCATAGTACATGACGGCAGCTGCCTCTTGGCTTGGGCATCGGACTTCTTGTTACCCTCGTTGTTGTATTCTTCCTGCTGCCCTGATGCCTCCGTCGGACCCCTCCTCGCCAGCGACGTATCGAGCCCGAGGTGCGGGCAAGTCGCCCAGCTACGGCCAGGTCTCTATTACTTGATCGGCCGAGTGGTTCAGGGCTGCGCCTTGATGGATGTGTACGCGAGCAGCACGGATCCGTGTAGTGCGCGAGCCAACGACTTGGTGCAGTTCTCCAGTCTCCAGGGTGTGCGGCGCGTCAGTCGTATGAGTCCAGGCCTGGTCCTCTCTTTTCCCGTGACCCTCTGGCGCGCCCTCTGCGGTTCAGCCCCCCCCCACCCCACCCAGGAACAGGTGCCCTCCCCTGCCCTCTCCCACCCATCTCGCTTCAGTCTTGTCCCTCTCTCCCCTCACCTTCTTCTCCCATCGCCATTCCTTCTCCTCCCGAAGGAGAACAAGACGGCAAAACGCATACAATTTCGGAGGTCCGCGCGGATTTCTTGGCTCTGCGCTGGACGCCCCTGGTGGCGCCTCGGGCGCTGCCCCCGGGAAGAGGTGTAGCACCGATCCAAGAGATCCTCGCGGACCTTCGAATTCGTGTGACTATGCAGCTTTCTCTGCTTCGAACCTCCCCGTTCCTTGCACCTCCTGCCAATCCGCAGCGGCACTTTTTGACTCGGCAGCGCCCGCGAACGCGGGCGCGAGGGTCGAGACCGGCGGGGCGCGCCGGGCGCGCGGCGCGCGGAGCGAGCGGGACAGCAGAGAGCGGCCGCGAAGGGAGGAGGGGGAGGCCCGTCCGTCGGGAATCGACGGAGGTGGGTGACGCAGGCTGCCTCGGGCACCGAGGACGGTGCGCATCGAGTCGTGGGGCTCAGCGAGGGGGTCGTGCCTTCGAAGTAGTACTCGGCAGCGGAACACAGGGACGCACGCGTGCACGAGTGCGCGCGGATCTCGGGACGGCGTGCCGCGCGAGCGCTCGTGTCACGAGGGCGGTCTTGCGAACCCCTGGGGGGGCGGGGGGTGGGCGCACTTGTGAGCGTGGCTGAGCGCGCACGGCTCGGTACGATCGGCACAGGTGCGGAGAGACTGGGTACGAAGACCGACAACAGTTCCTGTCCATTCAGCACAGGATTTGCTGTTTCGGAGTGCCCCTCCGCTTCCCTCCTCCTCCTCCTCCTCCTCCTCCTCCTCCTTCCCCTGCTCCTCATCAGCCTCCTCGTGCTGCCCATGTGTTCGAGTGGGAGGTTTGTGGGTTATTCTTCGAGGTGCCAGAAGGAGAGGAAGTTTTTCGTGGTGGTGCAGAGTATATGTTTGGATTTAGTGCCAATCTGCAGAGCTGTGTAAATGAGGGGAACAGTTGAACATAATTCGCTCTCGGTGTCACCGCGGGCGTTGTCTACTGAAGACGACATGTCGCCTGCCAGCGGCCGCTGTCGATGTTGGACAGCACTGCCGTCAGTCGTGCCCCTTTTCCCCGTACTCCGCGTTCGTCAGCAGGGACGAAAACACTCAGACAGAAATACACGCCGACCCCCAGGAACAGAATGGAAAAATATGGGAAGTGGAAGGGACAACGAAACTCCAGAAACAATCGAACAACGGGAATCCTGAGTTGTGCGTCTATTTATTTGTGTGTCCCTGTCCCTGGGCCCCTTTACTAAGCTCGTGGGGGTCGCCACCCCCGCCGACATCCTCGAGCCGACCCCCGCTTCGGACCGCCCCCCGCCCCCGCGCGCCGAGTGCGCTCCAACCCCGAGGCGAGGCTGTGCCGACGAGGCGAGGTGGAGCCCCGTTGAGGGGGACTCCCCCACGCTTGTTATTGGCGGCGGGCCCGGGGGGGAAGTGAGAAGGAGGAGGCCTTCTCAGAAGGCGGCGGGGCTTTTCAGAAGCTTTTCTCAGAAGCTATCTGGCCTTCTGAGATGCTTCCTTCGTCTTTGGAGAAGGCTTAGGACATTCTGAGAAGGCCAGATGACTTGCGAACCTTTTGAGCATGCCTGCCTCCTCTCACTCCCCCCCCCCCCGGGCGGGCCGCCGATGATTGCCAAACGCAGAGTCTCCACTTCGGGCTTGCCAGACGTCCTTTTGCTTGGTCCCTGACCAAGGGGGACATCCGCACCGACGACTTGACCCCAGCGCAGAGGGCCAAGTACGAGGCGGACCAGTCGGCCAAGGAGCAGGCCCGGGCCGCGCCTGCCGCCCGCGCGCTGGCGCCTGGCTCTCTGCAGCTCGGCCGCCGAGCAGGAGCGGCAGTAATATGTGTGATACACATGTATATATACACATCTAGAGAGCGAGAGAGAAAGAAAGAAAGAAAGAAATAAAGAAAGAGAGAGAGAGAGCTCCTCCTGCGCCTCCTCCTCCTCCTCCTCCTTCCCCTTCCTCCTCCCCTTCCCTCTACCCCTCCTGTCCCTTCCGCCCCTCCTTCTGCTCCTCCTCCTCCTCCTCCCCTCCTCCTCCCTCCTCCTCCTCCTCCTCCTCCTCCTCCTCCTCCTCCTCCTCCTCCTCCTCCTCCCTCCTCCTCCTCCTCCTCCTCCTCCTCTCTCCTCCTCCTCCCTCCTCTCCTCCCTCTCTCCTCCTCCTCCTCCTCCTCCTCCTCCTCCTCCTCCTCCTCCTCCTGTCCCTTCCTCCGCAGAGGCACACACTCGGGGGCAACGTCAGAGGGGTGGGTAACGTCAGGCCTCGAGGTTGAAGGTCTTCTGGTGTGCTCGTGGTTTCTCGGCGGCGTTCCAGCCTCGGGCCGCCTTCCAGCGGCTGCGCCTCGCCAGGAGCGTCCAGGAGGTGCCCAGATCGTCCCGAACGGCCGCTTGACATGGGGGTGCCCGGACGACCCGAAAGCCAGAGGCCAATTTACGGGGGGATGGGCTCCGGGGTGGATGCGTCGGCCCTCAGTTGCCCGATCATCGCCGACAGGGGCCTGATAGCCCGCCCAACCCAGGAGCTTGCAGATTGGCTGCGACGGGCCATCCATCTCGCAGATCTATCGGCGATGCATCGCAGATTGAAGCTCGATGTTTGTCCCTCCGAGCTGGTCACTCCTCGGTTACAGTCCTCGCGCGTCAGTAGGCCAACCCTTCAAAAGCCCTCACATGCTCCCGGCCCTCCGTGCACTCTGGGTCGCCTGTGTCGTGACTTGCGTCCTGCTTCCCCTCGGATGAGTCTCGTATCCTTGTTCATGTATTCTCGTTTGCGTGCCGATCGTGTGATCGGAGAGAGTCCAAGAACAGTTTATTTCGATAGACATAAACTTTCAGAGGTCCGCGCGGATTTCTCGGGTCTTCGCGCGAAGCTCCTGGCGGCTTCCCCAGCGCCGCCGCTGGCGCGCTGCGCGCCCCAGCATTTGGTGTCCAGCGCCGACTGAAAGAATCGTCTCGGACCTTCGAACTTGTATGTCTATGCCAGTTTCATGTTCTGGAAAGGGAGAGGAACGAGAAAGAGAGAGAGAGAGAGAGAGAGAGTGGGAAGGAGAGAACAGGCCTTGGACCATGGAAAGAGAGCCGTGCTCCCATGGTGCGGTGGCTTCGAGATCAAATTGGCAGAGTCCGGCAAAGCAGGTGTCCTTCGTCACGGATTGCTAACTTGTTGTTGAAGTCGTGATTGGTGCCATGGTGTTGTCGGCACCTGAGCTCAGCCAGTCTTCGATTCCATTACTATCGTTGAACCATATCTTTGACCATGGCTGGAAAGGCCCTCCATGTACACGCACACACACACACACACCAGCGACTTCGTTGACTGGCACAGTCGAGATCATAATATCATTGTTGGCACATGCTCCGGCAGCACAGATCTAGTTTACGTCGGCGTGGCAGTGCATGTGTTAGTGTCTGGGGTGCACCCCCTCTGCCGCTTACTCCCTTGCCCGATTCAGCATGCGCCTGTTCGTTCTTCAGCGTCGTATTTGGCGTCTGTCTGTGTGCTACTGGATGCAGCTTATTTGGCAGCCTGCCTCCCTCCTTCGTTCCCGCTTCCTTCCTTCCCTCCTCTCCTCCTCCTTCGGGTCCCTGGGCTGGTCGTCCTGGGTCCCAGTCGGCCGGACGGTCGTGCCGCGCGGCTCGGAGGGGAGGGCCCGCCTTCTCTCCTTCGCCCTCCTCCCTGTACTGGGATGCTCTTTCTGCGCCAACGCCGCCTTCGATTGCAGCACTCGTGTGCAATATCATTGGCCGTCCCGGCCTCGGGGGATATCTGCACACAGGCAGCCCCATCTGGTCTCCCAGACCAAGGCTCGTTGCCTGAGTTCGCCCATCGCAGGTTGGCTCTTGCGACGTTCCCGGTTTGTCTGGCGGTGGTCGTCCTTTTCCTTCTCCTCCTCCTCCTCCGCAGCAGCGATGCGTTTCAGTGGGTGATTCGTATCGCCTGTTGTTCTATTTCAGACACCTGCGATGCTCAGAGTGGCTTCGGGATCGGCATTTTGTGATTGAAATTCCATTTTCGCCTCCGCCTCCGCTCTCTCCAACAAATAGCATGACGACTACCAGGCAATCTACAATGTGCACGAACGAGGTCCTGATTCCAAATGTCCAGCCAGCGTCGACGCGAATGCTGGAACTCGTTTTATCAGCACTGATGCCAGCAATTTGGTCAGGCCAATGTGCAGCAGAAGCATGGGTGACAGAAGTGGTGTCTACCGTGGACGTTTCCAGGATGACCATGCAATTTGTATGTGGTACTGAAATTGGCACTCCTGCTTCACGATGAAGCCATTGCATTTGCCGTGAAGGAAGAAGACTTCATCCTTCACGGCGGAGTCAACGGCATTGGACGAAGTGGCCCTGGCCATCTCGAGTTCAGCAACCTTGAGCAAGTTGCCGCCACAGGCTGAACGCAGCTAACGTGGAGCTGGCACGCAGGCTGAACTGAGCTTACCTGGAGCAAGTCGCCGTCACAGTATCGACCTAGGCCATGCACATGTAGGGGAAACGCGAGACGTGTGTCTATATATATATATATATGTATACGCATGTAAATTCACACTCGTTTGCATAATATGTCCACACGTATATGTGGACATATGTAAATATAGCTCTATTTATAGATTGTATATTCCCGCACTTGCCTTTCCGAGAGAGTAGAGCTCCGAGGCGACTAATTGCCGTCGTCTTTGTTTCTGGTTGTCTCACTCGGGACATCCTCAAGGTTCAGGACATCGGATGCACCTCTTTCGCAGATCGCGACGTCAGGGTCTAAAACCACTCATGCTCTTTCTTGTTTTCCAAATCAAACATGTCAACATAAACTAAGACTTCGTGGACACATTTCTTAGGAAAAACAGCCGTTCCGCGTGAGACCTCCCCTCACAAATTCCAAACTTGAAACCTGACGTATTCAAAGTGGCCCTCACATTCTTCATTTTGGCAGTTTCGCTCGAGACATCTTCGACCACATGGTTCCAGAGCTTCTTGTCAACTGGAATCGCCAGGGGTGGAACACCCTCCAGCACCACGCACATCGCAATGTGTGGCAAGCCCGCCTGCGTTCGACTGCGATCCCGCTGTTGCACCTCCTTTCCACCCACTGGTGATCATCATTCTCCTCTGTCGCTGTTTGTTCCTCTGCGCCCGGTTTTATTGCAGTCAACCCGCATAAAAAAGGATTGGCACCCTTCCCAACGCTACCCTTGCATCCTTGCCTCCTCGGCGCATCCTTGGCCACTTTCGCTGGCCGCGCCCCGCCCGAACAGCATCGAAGCGGCCTTCCAAGGCCCGTGCATCCTTATCGCGCATCCTTATGATACGGGCCGGCTGTATCCTCTTCTGGCTGAAGTTCTGTGATGTCTGCGTGCTGCAGTTTCTTCTGTATATGCCCGGGCACGCGCGCGCCCTCTTTGCAAACACATATGTGCAAATGTTCGCACCCTTGCCTCTATAGATGTGGTCGTCATAGCTAAGAAAGAAAGAGTGAGAGAGAGAGAGAGAGAAACATAGAGCGATACCTATATGTAGATAGAGAGAGAGAGAGAGAGAGAAAAAACAAAGAGAGAGAGAGAGAGAGACAGAAAGAGAGCGAGGGAGGGAAGGAGATCGGGAGAAAGAGAGAGAGAGAGAGAGGCAGATAGCATTTCATCTTAGTGTCTTGTTTGCTCGCGCGTCGTTTCTTCCCCTCACGCGGGCCTGTCCGAGATGGGGTCCCGCTTCTCATCGGTGTTGTCCAGCAGCCGCACTGCACCTGGGGAGCTCACCTGCCACTCGGGCTCGCTCCCTGGCTGCCGTGGCTGCTCGGGAACCTCGGCTCCGCGCGGCCCCTCTCTGCTCCCTCTTCCTCGCTCCGGCCTGCACTGTCAGGCGCGAGGCCGTCCTCCCTGGCCCGCCGCCTGGGGTTACGTACTCTAGGCGCTTCGCGTAGCCCCACCAGCCCACCCAGAAACGATGCCCTGGCGAGTTGCCCTGGTAAGGGATGTGGAGGAGCATGCAGTGGAATAGCGGGCAAGGTAAGGAGTATTACCCTAATATGGGGATGAAGGAGGAGAATGTAGGAGGGAGCAGGAGGAGGAGGTGGAGGAGGAGGAGGAGGAAGATGATGATGATGATGATGATGATGATGATGATGATGATGATGATGATGATGATGATGATGATGATGATGATGATGATGATGATGATGATGATGATGATGATGATGATGATGATGATGATGATGATGATGATGAGGATGGAGGAGGAGGAGGAGGAGGAGGAGGAGGAGGAGGAGGAGGAGGAGGGGAGAGGAGAAGGAAGAGGCGGAGGAGGAGGAGGAGGGGAGGAGGCGGAGGAAGAGAGGAGGAGGAGGGAGGAGGAGGAGGAGGAGGAGGAGGAGGAGGAGGAGGAGGAGATGGAGGAGGAGAAGGAGGAGGAAAAGGAGAAGGAGGTTGGGTCGGGCGGCGGACGGGCTTCTGAGCCCGCCTGAGCTGGCGCGCCCGCTACCGTTCAGTGGGCCATCCGACTGATACACGCTCTCAGGAGACCTTCAGGAGGAAGACCCTGCCCTCGGGCCAGGCCAAGGCCAGCGAGCACCGCAGGAGGAGGATGAGGAGGAGGAGGAGGAGGAGGAGGAGGAGGAGGAGGAGGAGGAGGAGGAGGAGGAGGAGGAGGAGGAGGAGGGGGAGAGGAGGAGAGGAGGAGGAGGAGGAGGAGGAGAAGGAGGAGGAGTGCGCCCCCCTAAGTTCGCCCCTCCCGAAGTTCGCCAAACCACGCACGCCTTAGTGGGGTTAGTTCCTGAATTCGCTGCCACTGCATGATAATTCACGAATTCCAGCGACTTCCTGCCTCCTTCTCTTGCTCCTCTTTCTCCCTCCGCGCCCTGCCCTCTCCCTCCATCTCCTCCCTCCCTTCCTCCCGCTCCTCCCGCTCCTCCCCCTCCTCACTCCCCTCCTTCCTCCTCCTGCTCCTCCCCCCTTCGCACTCCTCCCTCCTCCCTCTCTCTTCCCCGCGCCCGAAGGCAATGCTGAAGGAGCTGGTGTCGGAGGCCGAGCAGGACCGCCTCGGAGGAATCGAGGACCACGTCATCACCAAGGCCGCTCCCTGGCCGCCCCCGTCCGCCGCGGCGGCCCGCTGGGGGGGAGGCGGTCGGGGCCTTGGCGTCGGCTACGCGTAAGAGAGACCCTCCGCCGGGGTGACCTTCGCTGTGGGCTTAAAAGGGCCCCCCCCAGCTCTGGCCCGCGCGCTTGGATCTGGCCTCCCCGCAGCCCCCTCACCCCGCGCACCACAGGCCACTTCTTGCTCAGGGCCACTCCTGCGTGTAGCCGGTGGTGGCAGATGACAGGAGCACGAGGGCAATGACGAGCAGGAAGGCAGAGGAGGATGAAGACGACCAGGGAGGGGGAGGAGGAGGAGGAGGAGGAGGAGGAGGAGGAGGAGGAGGAGGACGAGGAGGAGGATGCGGAGGAAGAGAGGGAGAAGGTTGAGGAGGAGGAGGAGGGCCAGAGTACACCGAATATTGCTAAGGCCTTACGGCCAGTGCCGCCGATCCTGGATATCTCGGCCCTCGAGGGTGACGGGATGCGTGATGAGACGTCGGAGGTAAATGAAGACGTGGCGGAGGAGGAGGCGGAGGAGGAGGAGGAGGAGGAGGAGGAGGAGGAGGAAGGGGAGGAGGAGGAGGAGGAGGAGGAGGAGGAGGAGGAGGAGGAGGAGGAGGAGGAGGAGGAGGAGGAGGAGGGGAGGGGGAGGGGGGAGGAGGGGGAGGAGGAGGTGGTGGAGGAGGAGGAGGAGTTACGGAGTTACGGGTATGGCGACTGTGTCGGTTACGAATGGAAGCATATTAAACCCGCTGCGTCCTGGCTCTTTTGGCCTGCTCTCGCTTGCTGTAGACTTTGGGCCACAGACCCTGGAGAATACGTCTGCGATAATCGAATCGATTACCATCGAGGCGTGTGGTGCATTCCTTACCGAGCTGTGCTAGCTGTTCTGCTGCAAAGCTCCCACAGACATTGCAAAACCACACCCTCAGCCCCGAGTGAAACCTTAAAGTGTGATACCCGTGAGCGTACCCCCCCATGATGTGCACCCTTTGCCCAGGAGGGGGTCTGATGATCAAACCGTCCACACTAAGTAAATCAAACCATGGTGAGCTCAGCCACTCGTGCTAACATGCGAGTGAGGTCGACCCTGACATCGTGTGCAACTACGGCCGTTGTCACCGAGGTGTTGCGACGAGGCGAACATTGCACATACACTGGCTGCAGGGGGTCGGACGACCACGGAAGAATATTTACGCTGCCTGCGCCGAGCCCCAACGCTCTCAGCTTGTAACACAAGATCTTCAGCATGTATTGCTTCTAGCGTGCTCTGTAATATGCGTGTGCGCACGGCGAAAGCCATACTCTCAGCACTATGTACCCGCGCGCGCGTTCCCTCAGACAAACGTGCAACCTGAGCTCCTGCGGCGGCGAACTCATCTGCAACTTTGTTGCCTACAACCATTAGCCCGGGAGCGTGCTCTCCTACCATGTGCTCGGCTCCGAGGTGAGAAGTAATTGGCAACATTGTGCAATGCAGGTCGGGCTTGCGGGCGATCTCCTGTCCGATTTTCCACCAACGGTCAGCGTCGGCTCCAGACGGGGACAACCAACGTGACTCATAGCAGCCTGAGAACACTGTGGAGTTATCCGTTTTGTATATAATATGCCCCTCACTCTCGCGCGAGCGCACCCATAGACAGTACAACTCCCCGCGTACAACGGTTTGCCGAGCCCTTGGGGGTGCAGACCATATGCCGAGTGATATGTGCATGTCGTCATCGAGGGTGCGAAAAAGGGCGACTCCGAGACCGACCCGACGAAGGTGAGGCTGGTGCGTTCCCTTACCCCCGCTGGAGTCGCCGAAGACGTAGAGGGGGTGATCCTCTGAGCCTCGTCCAAATCCAGCGAAGCCTGTGCCCTCTGAAGCGCGTCGCTGCTCACAGCCGGGCGGATCCTCGACGGCGACCCACGACGACGGCAGCAGCCCCCTGCTCGCTCAACTGGTAGACGGGGCTGGCTGATCGAGACTCGCAACCCCAGATCATGTGGAAGCTAGTCTCAGGTGCGGCTCGACAGCGCGGACATTCCTCAGCAAGCTTCTGCTTGCAGCGCGGTTGCCTCCTTGTCCTGGGCCAAGAAGCTCCCGTCGCTGCCGCAAGCATCAGCCCTGCCAGACGAGGTCCGCCTGGCCCTTGTTCCAGTTGTTGAAGTAACTGCCCGTACGAATGATTACATCTGCAACCTTCCATTCCACCTCCGCCAACGTGTTTGGCGGCATCCGCCCATAGCTGGGCTTGCACAGTGGATTGAAACTCTTGAGACAACATCTCAGGGACATCGATGGCACCACATTCAGTTAACGCCTGATCATTGAAATTCCAGCTGCTCGTGCCGTCGGGAATGTCCCAGGCATTGGCCGCTGCTGGGTGCCACCCTACGTTCAACAGGTAGGTGATGACCATCGCCTGGGGCCCCCAGATCCTCCGACGCCGCTGGGCCGCGGGGAGGCCCGCGAGCTCCTGAACCACACCACTCCAAGTGCGACCAACGCTGACTCGAAGATGAGGCTCAGAAACCCACGTGGCCAACCACATTCTCAGCGTGTCCAAGGGCAGACGGTAGGCTGGGTCCCGCTGCGGCACCCTGAGGTCGAGAAGCGTCATGCCGCGCCTGCCCGTGAGGCGGGGGGCAGATGCGTTAGGCAGCTGCCGACGCACGGAGGCCAAAACGCCGTGGAGTTGATGGGCGTACAGCCCTGCTGGCGACGCCCCCTGCTGCTCAAGCCGACCGGTGAGCCGATGCCGTCGAAGTGTCCGAGAGTATCTAGTGATCTTGACCGACATCGCGTGGTGCTTAGTCGCTCTCGATCCTCTCGCAGCCCGTGCCTGCCTACGCCCGCCACTCAAGTCGGCGTCCGAGATAGGGAGCTTGGCTGGCATGCCTCAACTTGAACCCGCGGGCGGCCACATGCCGAGCGATGATGCGTGCATCCTCGATGTGACTGCAAATCGCAGCACTCTTGGGGGAACTCTTCAAACCAGCTGCTTCCATGCCCTGGCATGTGCCGAGAAGGCACATCGTCATCTGCTTACGCGTGCTGATCCTCGAGCCACGGGCCACCTCGGAGAGGTCATCCACCCACAGCCGATGAGACATATTCACATAGGCGATTGTGATTTTTGACATTAGAAAGTGAGCAGCGCACTTCCCGAACCGCGTGCCTCTCCTCAGCCCCTGTACGATGGAGAGTGTGGGGCAGAAGGGGGGGCCGTATGCCCCTGCTTGCCTCGCGCATCTCACTGCCATGCATTGCTGGAGTTCGAGCCCAAGGATCTCAGCAGGAAGCTCGAGGCGTGCGGCTGCGGCTCCGATGCGGTACCAACCATCACTATCATACAACTGCGCTGTGCCGCACGAGCCATGCCCGTGCGTAACTCCAAGCCGTCCCGCTAGTTCTTCGTCGATTGCTCGTAGAACAACCTCTCGTACAGCAGAGTTGCCGCGCGCCGCGGCATCCCAGTGCGCCTCGCACTCGTCCGTCCATGTCTTGACGTGGCCCTCGCGGGTCTGTGACCACATACTGCCGAAATGTGATAAAAGCCCGATCGCTCGATCTCCGCTGACCTTTTTCTGCAGCAATGTACCGATGGTAACCAAAACCTGGTGTGTCCACGTCTGATGAAAGTCACGCAGTAGAAAGAGCTGCCAGTTCGGCCAGCGCGATGTCTGGCAAACGGTCCACATCCAAAGAACACAGCCGATCAACGCCCATCGCCGACGAGGGCTTCACACGTCGAAGCGCAGATCGGAGGTCGGCGACCTCGATGGGCGGCAGTGCCTCGTCCTAGACGCGGCGCCTGATATCTCCGAGCAAATCTAGCAGCTGCTCGTGATCCTGCCCCTGCGGTGCCCACAACTCGCGCCACTGATGGGTTTTATAATCGAGCGCATCACGCGGGATAATGGGCGTACGATTACCAACTTCGACCGAGTCGGAGGCCAGAGGTGAAGATCCATAGCCTTGTGCAGGGCACCGACCGCTGGGGCAGTCTCTGCCCAGTTTCTGAAAGATAAATCCACCGATGGATTGCCCTCTGCTGTCTTCGTCGAGCGAGCTTCTCAGCACAGTCGCAGCCTGCTGTCAAGTCAACCTCCGAAGGGGATCCTGACTTTCACTGCGACCAGGTGCGGGGATCGCGCTTCCGAAGGACACGGTGCGCCTCCTCTGACATGCCACCGCGAAGCGCGTCGATTGCCTCCACGAGTATCTGCTGCTGCTTGCCTCCGTTATCTCGCCGACGATGCTGAAGGAGAGACGTGAGAGCTGTGGCCAGCCTGGTCCACCAGCCGCTGACCTTGTTTCGTAGAGGCTTCAATCCCTGCGCAGTTGACTGCTGCACAGTGCCGATACGGAACCTCGCTGCTTGCCCACGTGACAAAGTGGGAGCGGCCTGCTGGTGGCGGGCGTAGATAGCCCCTTCCACCGTGCGGACCCAGCTACAATGGAGTGAACTGATGCGTGGAGCTGCCGAATCCTGGGGCCCTGGCCAAAATGCTCCGGACTTGGCAACAACATCAGCAGGCACGCAAGCAGCACCCGGGGTACGTCCGACATTTTTCCTGGCCTGCACCCAAGTTTCACCACTGACTTGAAACTCGACTTGAGACTCTACGGGGGACCCTGAGCTCACCGATTGAGACGACATCTCCGATGTGTGAGACCTGTGGGCCTCTTCATCTGTGGGGCGGGGTGCTCTACTCGGGGGGCGCTCGGTCTCCATAGGCTGAGTAGTGGTGTGACACTCGACTGATTCAGCTTCGACTGAGGCAGATGGGCGAGGGGTGGCTGCAAGCGGGGCCGCGGGCGGTGCAACTGATTTGTAGTTGCTCTCGTCAGCCCACGGGTCGTGCCCGGAGATGTTGTCCCAATCGGCGGAGCGGTGACAGCTGGAGGCCTCAGGCCTTGTCGGTCTCGTCGTCTGTGCCCTCCTGGCTCTCATCTCCTTCCTGCCGACGGGGCTCTAAACTCTCTCCAAACCTTTCTCGAACTTTC